GATCATGAATAACCTGGTTTATCATGTTTCAAGTGAACATTATATCCCTGAATACGATCAAAACCAGGATACTAATGTGCCTGTTAACGTAATCAATGTTTCCATGGTTTCTCCTCTTAGTCATCTCCGTCTCAAGCGTCAGTGTCTAAATTGGATGTTACATTTAACTGAATACTTTTGGCATCTTAAACCACTTACTGATTTCCTGAACGTCCAATAATATCAGACTTGGTGCAGATAAAATGAATCTGCCGACACTCGCCACCATTTCCCATGAGGCTGCAGGATTCTTTCAGGATCTCCCAGGATTCTTTTTCTGAAGCTGCTCGATTTATCTCAGCCACAATCCACACAGTAGAACAACTTCCAACAACCTGGAGGGGAATACAGCAAATAATAACGGTTACATTGTCAGTGTAACCTTCTACAATAATCAGCATTGCATGTGGATGAATCACCTTTTTCCACATCCTGTCTCTGCTCTTGTTACGGTCCCCATTTCCAGGAAGATCCACAAGTGTGACGTGCCGGAGAAAATCATTCTTTGGCACCCTGAAGGTCACACACTTCACCAGGGGCCAATACCACCTCTTCACGTCTTGAGCATCTTCCTCTTTTGACTCACTTCGTGTGTATTTGACCAATTCTGCAGATAATTCTTTAGCCTAAAATAAATCATAAAACAAGAGACAATGCACGGCCATTTATTTAAGTGTTTAAGTGTGTTTTAAAAGATTGTGTTAAATAATTATTACAGCATAGCATTAGAAGTCTATTTGAAACCCTATCACTGAACGACAAAATCTATATAAAATAAAAAAAGTATCAAACCTTACGTTTATATTTTAGCAATGGGGAACAATTTGGTTTTTAAGTTTTGAACATGATTTTAAATTTAAAGCTGGTAGTGCCTTAAAATATATGGTTGAGGTTATTGCAACAAGTTAATTACTGTAGACATTTCCTTTCCTAAGTAGATATGGTTTTATAGTTATTGTAATTAGATTCCAGATAGATCAAGCTTCATTTTTGAGTAAATACCGAATTACATTTTGCATTTGGTGTCTATCATGAAACTACACCAACCAAGAGTTTGTTTTATGAAATGATATAAGTTTTAGTCTTACTTACAGTATCGCTTGTCAAAATCTTACTCTTGGAACTGAGAAATTCAGGAATTTCTCTGAAGAACTTTTTATCCATGAGGTTTTCAGGAGATTTGTTTCTCCATTCTTCTCCATACAGCATTGACAGCGTTTCAACACTGTCTAGATAATCTTCGTCTTTTTCCTGATCATCGTCATCACCAAGGAAATTAAACAAGGTCCACAACTCCTCTTTCCAATCCTAAAAAAACATTTTTTATTATATGGCATGTTGTGTTGTCAGCTTATATATTTATTTGCAGCTTCATCATAAAAGTTGAAATAGCTCTAAGTTAACAAACATATTTAGCTAATTTTACCTCTTTTGTAATGAACTCGATTTCTGCCTCATACTTTGGGTTACGCATGTTAGCCTCCACTTTAATCATCACTGAGGTACATGCACTGATGTCTCCAGAGGGCAAGAGATCCTGCACTCCAATGACGGCATTTATCAGAGAGCTCTTTCCAGCCCCCGTTCTACCAAAGACGCCGACCACCTCCCTCTTGTCTGTCTCCAAATGTTTGATGTTATTTCTGTGGTGCACGAGTTTGAATATGGGTTATTGATCAAATTAACAAATGTAACAAACACTAAAAGATTGTGTCAAAATCTTGCTTGACAACACTACTTACTTCAGGAACTTGTTGAACTTGTCGTCTTGGTCAGGTAGTTTATCAAGGACACAACTCATGATGTTTTTAACCTTAGACAGAATGACTTCTTCTGTAAGAGTAAAAGTAAAGAACTATTCAGCAGGAACCAATAACCAGCATATCCATTAAGATGTATTCCCAATTAAGTATCATTTTCATCATTTATATACTATGGCAGGTATCTAAGGCCATTATAACTTAATAAGACCTGTGTTGCTACATATATGTAAGTTCATTTGCTGAACAATAATACATTAAACACATTATACCTATTAACCCTACTTTCTAATATTTTGGAAAGTAATATAAATACCTCTTTTTGTAACTTGTTTATCCTCACGTGGTCGTTTTCTGGCTGGTGATTGGCTGGACTCATCCTGGAGATCCAACTTCCTCTTTCCTTGTGTTTAATTTTTTTGTAAATAACATTTTTTTTTATTAAAACATTTTTTTTTCAATACTGTTTAGATATAGCAGGTTTATTATTGTTTATAAAATATCAATAAACCTGCATATAATCCATAAGGCACTTTGTATCTCACCTTTATCATTTGTTTTGCTGGTGGACGGACAAACCTGAGGATGAAGAACATGAACATTTGACTCTTTGTCCTCTCACAGGGTGCTACAGGCTTGAACACACATCGTCACAATTCACACACACACCTACATTTGCATTTCATTTCCCATTCAAAACTCTATACAAAATAATATATACTTGAAACATGGCTATCTATCAAGTGATCACATTCAGCATTCTTTTAACCGAATGAACAGCACTATGAACAAATTAAACAGTTCACAGTTCTTCAGTTAAAGGGGACTTTGTCTCAAGACGCTTCAAATATCAATGCATGAAGGATTGAGTCAAGTTCAATGATAACAAGCATGGTCCATTTAAAGTTATCATTACCTGAGCAGAAACAGCTTCCTCCCATTTACATTGCGAATAAAAGAAATACTCTTGGTGGCCATGTACAATGTTGAACAGACAATGACAATACAAAAAGTGAATTAAACTGCATTCAACTAACTTCAACAGAAGATTCAGATGTTTCCGGATCTGTTGTGTTTTGTTCCTCCTAGTTAGAAAAGAAAATAGTCTCAAATCCATAATAGTAAAGAACTTTGATAAAATGATGGTAAAGTCAACAAGATATATTATACTCCTTTGTATGTAGATGTTGTATATTTCTTGAGATGAATGAGACCAAATAATAAAAATGCAGACACTACCTTTAACAACCTGAGGTTCTTTTGGAATATTGACTGTCGTCCCACTTTTGGGATCAAGGCAGCAATGTGATGATCTTCCAGACAAAAAAGACTTTCCTTGTCAACTTCGTGATCTGTAAAAAAAATGTAATTAAGAAATGTCAACCAATTGCAAATATCTGTAGATGTGTATTTTGCATGGGGTGAAATGTGAGTTCAGCTGTTGAGAATATGTTTTGAAAAGCATTACAACTTAATTCATATTGGTAATATTTTGTTATTTGTTATTTTCAGTCTTGATTTCAGTGCTGTTGAAAAGATGCTACAGAAAATGAGTTACTCTGAAGTTAATATTTAATAGTTGCCTCTCTGTGTGAAGATGAAGCATTTATGACTGTTTAAGTATGTCAGGGATATGTCAGAAAGTTACTGAGTAACGATGTTGAGGCAGATTATGTGTCTTCAAGTATATGCAGATATTTTAGTATTGGAAGGTCATATCGACTTTGTATAATATTTTTGCCCAACAAAAAGCATGTGAATACTTTACCTTTAAATGTTTGTATCCATTCGCTGAGATTCCATTCAGTTAATATGTTGCAAACAAAATCATCCATGATTAAGAATAGCAACTGGAAAGTAAACAAATAATTGTTTTAATCAACACAATAACTACTTGTGAGAGTTTTGATGTTAATAGAAAAAGAAAGGGTTATAGAAAGTGATAATGGCTGCCTAATGAAAGAGTCAATATGAAGCATGTTGGAAATATATGTCAGAACACAAGGTAAGCAAAAACAAATGTTTTAGCACAAGATCCGCTAAACCAGAGTGTATAATATAAAGTTATGCAACACCAATCATGCCCAATGACTCGAGTCTCATCAACATACTGGTTTACAGCGATAAGGCACGCATTCAAATCGATGTAGTTTGTTGTTTTGTTTTTCACAGCATCGCCCTTTAGATTTTCGAACGGGCAATAAGAGTCACTCGAACATCTTTCTTTATTTCATTTGTAGCTTTATTATACCAGGAAGTCCCATTGAGATCAATGTGTTTTTTCAAGAGCCCGAGACCAGGGTAGCAACTGAGCAACCACACAAGAAGCCCTAACACATTACAATTAAAATACATCATATTACAATACAATTCATTTACAAAATACTATGAATCGTTCCAAAGCTTACCCGTAGAGTACAGCCTGTAGATATGCATCCAAAATCAGGTTAATGGAGTCTCCTGCTCATTATCTCAACAACCGCCCAACAGTGACCAGGAAAACTACATTTACAGTCTCTTGTTTCCTCTCTATGAGGCGCGAAACGGTACTCCTCCCACACTAAGTTAATCATTATGTATGTTTGCATTTGGGTCTGAAATGTAAAAACCCTTGCCATTATCCTATTCCTGTTAAAGTGGTCCTTTCTCTAATCATGTAGGCATTTTTATGTCAAGTGTTTGTATAATTATTTCCTCTTAAGGGATGATTAAGAAATTCCGAATATGATTGTCACTTTAGTTGAACAAACAAGTCACAGAAATCTGAAACATGACACGGGGTCTCTAATCCAAAAAGGCTGGGATCCACTGGTATGTTAATATGCATCATGAGTGCATGATATGTCTACTGCAGTTGGTATTACAATAATCCACCTGCAATGTAGTGGAATTGTATAAAGTAAAATAAAAAGGATTGTAAGAAAAAGGCCACCTCTTTATGATTGGCTGTTGGATTTGGCCTTGTAAATATTGGGTGGCTCGGCTTTTGTATTACCTGCTCTTTAAACAAACAACATAATGGCACTTTGCACTTGAGTAGTGATATTTTCACTTAATTTGCAATATTTGCACAATGCACTTTACACATTGCATATTTGCACCATTTGTATCTATTAAAGTGTATTGTATTCCTGAAGATGGATTACGTAATCATTTAACAGTTTCATCTGGCTTGTGCTGTAGTCGGTATTTGACTCCTCCTGAAAGAGAGTGGAGTCAATAGGCTCCAGCTGTTGCCTAATTCCAAACCCAACCTACTGTATACAGCCTCCTACTCCATGAGATAGTTAACTCCCAAAAGTCAGCAAGACAAGTAAAACTCCACTTCAGCAGTTTATTTAAACTTTGGAGATCAGTGATGCCCAACATCAATAAACAGAAGTTGGCTAAACAAAATGTCCCTAAAAGAAAACAGAAGTAAGCTCAATGACAAGTCTCTAACCTGAACTGCTACATCTGAAACAAACAAAAAAAGGCAAATAAAATGGGGGTCTCACTCTTACTAGATTTCTTTTAAATATGCAATTTTTAAGGTGACAACAGAAGCGGAATATTTAAATATTGCAAAAATCACACATTTATCAAATTGATATTGAACACAACACACTTGCCAAATGGCCTGAACAACACCTAATGTTTTGGTGAGGATGTATATTTTAATTAAGTAATTTTGAGGTTTTTTTGAAGAACATAATTTGAAAAGAAATGTATTTTCAAATTATTGAAATTTCACAGAATATCAACACTATAAATAACATATCATACATATAAGATATAACAATAACATATATGTTTGGGTTGTAGATACACAATATTGACAAACAGGTTTCCTGACAATCTGAAAAGTTACTATAACTGCTAGCTTCCATGCAGAGCTGTGCTTTTGCTTCTGGTACAGCACTTGGCAGGGGAAGAGGAGAAAACGAATGACGAAGAACACCGAGGCGGATTGATGTTAGTCAGGAGAATACATCTAACTGCTGACAACACTAATTCAATCAGGAGAGACGGTTTTGATGTAATAATAATACACATTTATTGCGCAGATGCCCAAATGAATGTAATGTAATTTTGGCGATTAGGCCCCGTTGTGCAGGAAGTATCATTC